ACGGAAGGTTTAGTCGGACTGCTTTCTCGAAGCACATGATGTCGGCGCGATGAAGACTCAACCAATCCATGCCGATGATAACGTCGAAGCTTTTTATTGAGACCGGCATGAGGTCGATTGGGAATGAATGGTTATTAGGGTTAGGATACATCCTAAGTATATGCTACTGGTGTTTTATGTTTTTCCATTAGCCATTTCTACTGTGAATTGTTCTTTAAGTGCGTGTGGTTGTTGTTTAAGCATGCGAGCAAACTTATGGTTCACGAAGCTCCGCTCTGCTCCACTATCGAACAGAATGCATGCATAGGAGTTATCGAGAAGGAACGTACCAGTCACCATTGTCGGGTCATCAACTGCTTCCCCGTGCCCTATAGCTAGTACCCTCCCTGCTCCTCCAGCATTCTTCGCCTTGGGGCAGTCCCTCTTATAGTGGCCTGCTTCGCCACATCCATAGCAGGTCTGGCTCGCGCCAGAGCGGGGGACTTGGGTGATCGGTCTCGCCGGAGATTTACAGAAACGGACTGTGTGTCCTCTCCTGTGGTAGTTAGAGCACTGCATTTCATGGCAGGGGCCATTGTGGTGGTAGTTGCATTTGTTACACTTGGGTAAACTTCCAGCATACTGTCCTATCGGAGCAGTAGTAGCAGCAGCAACAAGGGTTATTGCAGCATGCACCGCCACAATTTGCTGCTTTTTGGAAGCTCGTTTCGTCTTCTTCCTTTCCTCTCAGAGTTTCCGCTTTGTGTCAGCGGTTTTGGAGGGTTCCGAGATGGCTAGCGTTGTTGTTGTTGTAGGGGTTTTGACCCATGGTCAATGAGTCGTTGTGCCAGTCGTTTGGCACAGTCGAAGGTAGCGGGGTTTGATGATAGGACGTTCCCCTGATACGGAGGCACTAGCCCCCATATGTACCTTTCGATCTTTTTCCCTTCAGTGGGAACCATATTAGGGCAGAGGGCCACCAGTTCGCTGAATCTGGCGGTATAAGCAACAATATTGGTGCCCTTCATGGTCAGGCTTCAAAGCTCCTGCTCTAGTTTCTGGATCTCGCCCCTCGGGCAGTATTCCTCAATCATGAGGTCTTTCATCATTTCCTAGCCTATGTCATTGGCTACGACGAGAGTTAGAGATTTAACGTGGCCGTTCCACCACGTTAGGGCCTTTCCTTCAAAGGTGCATGCGGCATATTTCACTTTGCTCGCAGCAGGGGTTTACGGCCCAAGATCTTTCCTTGGCCGTAAACTCCTAAAACCCTATGATTTTGAAGTGTTTTGGTGTCCAAATTAATTACAAGCATTAGAGGGTAAAGGTCCTTAAGCTTTAGGGGTGATTTAGGGCACTTATAGCCCTTAAAAAGGGGTTTACGGCCCAAGAGATATCATTGGCCGTAAAGTCCTATAACTAGGGTTTCTTGATTGATTTCTAGCCTCAAATGTTTATACATTAAGTCCTTAACTAGTTGTCTAACAAGGAATCGGGACTAGGAAGCCTTTAGGCTTCGTTTTGGAGTTTACACCCCAAAACGTTCTTGGGCCGTAAGCTCCCGGATCTTGTATTTTAGACATGTAAACAATGTTATAAAGCATATAACAAGTATTAAAACACATTTAGGAAAGTGACTCACAATCCGGGATGAAAACCCGAAGATCCGTCAGAGAGAAATGGCTTTTCTCTAGTTGGAATTGTGAATAATGAATTAATTAAATTCATAAATCTATTTATAGTCCTGAAATATTTTGACAGAAAATATTTTTATTCCGGAAGTTGGACTATAACATTATGAAACTTGGAATGTTCAAGTTTCACAAATACAGGAGCATCCACTCTCCTGATATATCCAGAAATGTAAACCCTAATGTACACAAACTTGTTCGGACAAGTCTGAGAATCACTGAAACTGGACTGGCTTCTATTGAATAGATATTGTTCGTACAAATGGAAATTTCGGGTTGTCACAGTTGGAGACCCAGGCCAGGGAGGAGGCCGAGTCTCAACGGGTGGATCGACGGCCAGCCAGTCTCAGCCAGCAGCCAAGCGGACCAAGTCCGCTGATTCGAGATCGGGAGGTCAGAAGGGCCGCACTTGCGGAAAGTGCAGCAAGGGTCACGAGGGGGCATGTCGATCGGGTGCTTGCTACAAGTGTGGCAAGGAGGGGCACATTGCTAGGGATTGCCCAAGGGATTCATGGTTTGCTTTCATTGCAACCAGACCGGCCATCGGAAGGCCGAGTGCCCCCAGCTTCGCCAGGGATCTACGCCTGCTGCCAGGGTTACCGAGACTCGGCCAGTGAAGGCCGAGGCTCCGAAGGCTCGTGGAAGAGCTTTCCAGTTGACTGCGGAGGAGGTCCGCGTGGCGCCTGATGTCGTAGCCGGTATGTATTCTTTCATGTATTTACTTTTATGCTAAGATATTGTGCTTATATTATGATATGCGTAGGTACTTTTCTTGTGAATTCTGTACCTGCTTTGGTATTATTTGACTCGGGTGCGAGTCGGTCTTTTGTATCGTTGGCTTTTAGCCAGCACATCGGTATTGATCGGGAGGTGATGAGTCGACCCCTGCGAGTTTCTATAGTAGATGAGAAAGCGGTATACGCCACTGATGTGATTCGAGGATGTGTGCTCG